AACTCATCACTTGACACCAATCTAACTGTAACTTTTCTACCGTACCGGACACCTTCTAACTGTAAACTCTACCTAACTGACACCTCTAACTGTAAACTCTGTAACTGACACCTCTAACTGTAAACTCTGTAACTGACACCTCTAACTGTAAACTCTACCGTAACTGACACCTCTAACTGTAAACTCTACCGTAACTGACACCTCTAACTGTAAACTCTACAGTAACTGACACCTCTAACTGTAAACTCAGTAACTGACACCTCTAACTGTAAACTCTACTAAAACCGTAACTGACACCTCTAACTGTAATCTCTACCGTAACTGACACCTCTAACTGTAAACTTCTACATACTGACACCTCTAACTGTAAACTCAGTAACTGACACCTCTAACTGTAAACTCAGTAACTGACACCTCTAACTGTAAACTCTGTAACTGACACCTCTAACTGTAAACTCTATCTACCCGAACGGAACAGCCTCTAACGTAACTCATTAATAACTGACGAACCGTCTAACTGTAAAACTCTGTACTGACACCTCTAACTGAAACTCTGTAACTGACACCCTCTACTGTAACTCTAATCCTACCCTAACTGACACCCATCTACTGTAAAACTCTGTAACTACACATCTAACTTGTAAACTCTGTAACTTGACACCCCTCTAACTGTAAACTCTGTAACTGACAACCTCTACTGTAAACTCATAACCGGTAACTGACACCTCTAACTGTAAACTCTACAGTAACTGAGACCCGTACTAACTGTAAACTCTGTAACTGACACCCTCTAACGTAAACCTGTAACTGACACTCTACTGTAAAACTCTGTAACTGAACAACCTCTACCTGTAAACTCTGTGAACTGACCAACTGACACCCTAACTGTAAACTCAGTCACTGACACTTCTACTGGTAAACTCTAACCACTCTAAAAACCGTAACTGACTGACACCTTAACTGTAAACTCTACCGTAACTGACACCTCTACTGTAAGACTCTACTTCCCGTCCGACACCTCTAACTGTAAACTCTACTACCGTCACTGACACCTCGTAACTGTAACGCTACCGTAACTGACACTCTTACACTGTAAATCTCTACCGTAACTGAACAACCTCTAACTGTAAACTCTGTAACTGACACCTCTAACTGTAAACTCTGTAACTGACACCTCTAACTGTAAACTCTGTAACTGACACCTCTAACTGTAAACTATGTAACTGACAACCTCTACCGTAAAAACTCTACCTTAAAACTGACAACGTCTAACAACTGTAAACTTACCGTAACTGACACCTCTAACTGTAAACTCTACCGTAACTGTAACTGACACCTCTAACTGTAAACTCCTATACCGTTACTTGCACCTTAACTGTAACTATAATACCGTAACTTGAACACCCTCAACTGTAAACTCGAACCGTAAAACTGACAACCTCTAACTGTAACCTCCTAACACCGTAACTGACAACCTCTAACTTAAACTCTGTTAACTGACACCTCTAACTGTAAACTCTGTAGACTGACACCTCTAACTGTAACTCAGTAAACTGACACCTTCAACTTGTAAAAACTCTAACCGTAACTGACACCTCTACCTGTAAACTCTACCCTAAACTGACACCTCTACCTGAAACTCTGTAACTGACACCTCTAACTGTAAACCTGTAACTGGACACCTCTGAACTGTAAACTCTACCGTAACTGACACCTCTAACTGTAAACTCTAACCGTAACTGAAACACCCTCTACTGTAAACTCTACATACTAACTGAACACCTCTAACTGTAACTCAGTACTGACACCTCTACTGTAAACTCTACCGTACTGACACCTCTAAACTGTAATCTCTACCGTAACTGACACCTCTAACTGTTAAACTCTACAAGTAACTGACACATCTAACTGTAAACTCAGTAACTGCCACCCCTCGAACTTAACTCATTACTGGACACCGGGATCTAACTGTAACTCTGTAACTGACACCGTCTAACTGTAAACTCTACCCTAACGTTTACCCCCCCCAAACTCTTAACTGTAAACTCTCAGTAACTGACACCTCTAACGGTAAACTCTAAAAACTCTACAGTAAAACTGTACAAAACACCCCTCTAACTGTAACTCTTTACTGTACCCCAAGGGTCTCTCTCCTTACCTCTTGTCCCTGCCCCCTGACAAAATTCTCCCTGTACTCTGTACCTGACACCCTCTACTGTAAACCTACCCTAACTGACACCTCTAACTGTAACCTCTGTAACTGACCACCTCTAACGTAACTCCGTAACTGACAACACCTCTAACTCTAACGTAAAACTAACTCTGAACTGAACACCTCTAACTGTAAACTCTATAAAACCGTAACTCTGACAACCTCTAACTGTAAAAACGCTACCGCTACTGACACCATCTAAACTGAAACTCTACAGTAACTGACACCTCTAACTTTAAAACTATACGTAACTGACCCTCTAACTGTAAACTCTGTAACTGACAACCTCTACCTGTAAACTATGTAACTGACACCTCTAACTGTAAACTCTCCCGTAACTGACACCGTCTAACTGTAAAACTCTGAACTGACCCCTCTAACTGTAACTCTGTAACTGAACACCCTCTAACTGTAAACTCATTAACTGACACCTCAACTGTAAACTCAGTCAACTGACACCCTAACTGTAAACTCTACCGTAACTTGACACCTCTAACTGTAAACTCTCAACCTAACCTAACTGACAACCTCTAACGGAACCTCAGTAACTGACACCTCTAACGTAAACCTGTAAACTGACACCTCTAACTGTAAACTCTAACCCTAAACTGACACCCTCTTCTACTGTAAACTCTGTAACTGAACACCCTCTACCTTAAACTCAATAACTGACACCTCTAACTGTAAACTCAGTAACTGACACCTCTAACTGTAAACTCTGTAACTGACACCTCTAACCGTAAACTCAGTAACTGACACCTCTAACTGTAAACTCAGTAACTGACACCTCTAACTGTAAACTCTACCGTAACTGCCAACCTCTAACTGTAACTCTACCCTAACTTGACCACCTCTAACTGTAACTCAGTAACCTGCCACTCTAATTGTAAACTTCTGTAACTGACCAGCCAGCAACCTCTACTGTAAACTCTACCCACTGACAACTCTAAACTGTAAACTCTGTAACTGACACCTCTAACTGTAAACTCTGTAACTGACACCTCTAACTGTAAACTCTGTAACTGACCCACCTCCTAACTGTAACTCTGTACGACACCCTCTAACTGTAACTCGTAACTGACACCTCTAAAACTGTAAACTCGCTGTAACTGACCCTCTAACTGTAAACTCTAACCGTAACTGACACCTCTAACTGTAAACTCTAACCCTAACTGACCCCAACGGGTAAACTTTCTGTAACTGACACCTCTACTGTAACTCATTACTGACAAACCTCTAACTGTAAACTCTGTAAACTGACACCTCTAACACTGTAAACTCTGTAACTGACAACCTCTACGACACCTCTAACTGATACCACCTCTAACTGTAAACTCTGTAACTGACCACCCTCTAACTGTAACTCAGTAACTGAACAAACCTCTAACTGTAACAACGTCATGTAACTGACACCTCTAACTTGTAAACTCTGTAACGTAACTGACACCTCTAACTGTAACTCTTGTACTGCCACCTCTAAACTGTAAACTATAAATATACCGTAACTGACACCTCTCTGTAAACTCTACATAACGACACTCTCTAACTCGTAACTCTGTAACTGACACACTCTACTGTAACCTCAGTAACTGACACCTCTAACTGTAAACTCTGTAACTGACACCTCTAACTGTAAACTCAGTAACTGAAACAACACCCCTATGTCTAACTGCACAACTCTTAAAAACTGATACCTCTAACTGTAACCTCTGTAACTGACAACCGTCTAACTTGTAAACTATTCCGTAACTGACCACCTCTAACTGTAAACTCGTAAACTACTCTAACCGGTAACTGACACCTCTAAAACGGTTAAACTCAGTAACTGACAACAAACTCTAACTGTAAACTCTGTACCTACACCTCTAACTGTAACTCTGTACTGACACCTCTAACTGTAACTAATAAACCGTAACTTGACACCTCTAACTGTAAACTCTACAGTACCTGACGACCTCTACTAACTGTAAACTCTGTACTGACACCTCTAACTGTAAACTCAGTACTGAACAACCTCTAACTGAAACTCTGTAACTGCACCTCTAACTGTAAACCGCTGTAACTGACACCTCTAACTGACACTCTAACCTCTAACTGAGAGACCTCTAACTGTAAACTAACTCTTTAACTCGACACCTCTAACTGTAAACTCCAGTAACTGACACCTCTAACTTGTAAACTCAGTAACTGACCTCGAACTGTAACTCTGTAACATGACCCTTAACTGTAACTCTGTAACTGACAACCTCTACTGTAATATACCGTAACTGACAACTCTTAAAAACTGTAAACCTCTACAGTAACTGATCACGGGTCTACTGTAAACCCTGTACTGACACCTCTACTGTAAACTCAGTAACTGACACCCCTCTAACGTAAACTCTGGTAACTGACAAACCTCTAACTGTACATCGTAACTGACAACCCTAACTGACCCTCTAACTGATACCCTTACCGAGTAAACGTAAACCGTAACTTACACCCCTCCTAACTGTAAACTCTACGTAACTGACACCTCTCTACCTGTAAACCTCAGTAACTGACACCTTTAAACAACTGTAAACTCTGTAACTGACAACCTCTAACTGTAACTCTTACTGACACCTCTAACTGTAAACACTATACCGGAACTGACACCTCTAACGGTAAACTCTACATTACCTGCACCTCTAACTGTACTCTACCGTAAACTGACACTCTAAACTAACTGACACCCTCTACTGTAAACTCTACTGTACTGTAGTTATAAAATGTTACTATAACCTGGCACAGTCTAGTGATTGTGTCATCAAACACGCCCTCCATCATCGTCGGCCCCCTCCCCCACCAGCTTGACCTTCCAGGCCCTGGACGGCAGCCGCAGGTCAGACGACATTTCGATCCTGACCACTGACGGGCCCTATCTGCACAAAGATGGGCTTACACTTACGACCCCTGGACAGAGAGAGAGGAGTAGAAAGAGAGAGAGAGAGAGGGAGATGAGCCGAGAGAGTAGTAAGGATGAAAGCAGAGCGAGATCATCTATGATGATTAGATCTCGGCTTATGGCTGAGATCTGTATTTCGCTCTCGCATTGTCTCACTCTAAGCTCGCGAAGTCGCGACGCTAGAGAGCAGCGCGACGTCTCTCGCGCGCTCTCGCAGCTCTCGCGCCTCTCGCTCTCGCGCTCTCTCTCTCTCTCTCTCGCTGTCTCTCTCCTCTCTCGCCTGGCTCTCTCGTCTCTCTCTCTCTCCCATCTCTCTCTTACTTTCTCTTCCGCTTTTAGTGGTTGGAAAAAGGAGACAGAGAACTATTAGTTCAATCTCAATGTAACATATACACACTGCATGTCCTACTGCCTTAACCACCAGACATCTGAAGCTGTGGAACACCATCAACCATCAACTGTCAGATCACTACATTTATTTGGGTTTTCAAAGAGACTTTTAAGATTCTTTGTAATGAAAAGCGCTATAAACAAAACATCTATAATTATTCCGACGTATTACTCCATTTCTACTACTCCAGGACGCTGGACATACCGTGTGGAGATCCTCTTGACAGTGATCTGGGGTCCGTAGTTCTTCCCCTGTACCATAGTCTTCCCTATGGACCTCACCATGGGGAGAGTATAGACCCTGGGGGCCAGCAGGGGCCTCAACTGGCCCTGGACGATGCCCCATGTCCCTGTGTTGTAGTGGGATGCACAGCTCTGAGGAATGAGTCAGATGTATGAATCATAATGGACAGTCAATACAGGATTATACAGTAAAAGGGACACATGCTACTGTATCTGAGGACATTAAACTGGAGGAGATAGCGAGGTGTGTGGCGAGGTGAGGTGTGTGGTGAGGTGTGTGGTGAAGTGTGTGGCGTGGTGTGTGGTGAGGTGTGTGGTGAGGTGTGTGGTGATGTGTGTGGTGATGTGTGTGGTGAGGTGTGTGGTGAGGTGTGGGGTGAGGTGTGGGGTGAGGTGTGTGGCGAGGTGTGGGGTGAGGTGTGTGGTGAGGTGTGTGAGGTGTGTGGTGGGTGTGGTGAGGTGTCTGGTGGGTGTGGTGAGGTGTGTGGTGAGGTGTGTGGCGAGGTGTGTGGTGGGTGTGGTGAGGTGTCTGGTGGGTGTGGTGAGGTGTGTGGTGAGGTGTGTGGCGAGGTGTGGTGAGGTGTGGGTGAGGTGTGTGGCGAGGTGTGCGTATAGGTGTTTGGCGAGGTGTGGGCGAGGTGTGGGGTGAGGAATGTTGGTGATGGTTGGTGTGGCGAGTGTGTGGTGAGGTGTGGGGTGAGGTGTGTGGTGAGGTGTGTGGTGAGGTGTGGGGTGAGGTGTGTGGCGAGGTGTGTGGCGAGGTGTGTGGCGAGGTGTGGGGTGAGGTGTGTGGCGAGGTGTGTGGCGAGGTGTGGTGGGAGGGGTGGGGTGAGGTGTGTGGTGAGGTGTGTGGTGAGGTGTGGGGTGAGGTGTGTGGCGAGGTGTGTGGTGAGTTGTGTGGTGAGGTGTGGTGAGGTGTGTGGCGAGGTGTGGTGAGGTGTGGGGTGAGGTGTGTGGCGAGGTGTGCGGATAGGTGTGTGGCGAGGTGTGGGGTGAGGTGTGGTGAGGTGTGTGGCGAGGTGTGGTGAGGTGTGGGGTGAGGTGTGTGGTGAGGTGTGGGGTGAGGTGTGTGGCGAGGTGTGTGGCGAGGTGTGTGGTGAGGTGTGTGGCGAGGTGTGTGGCGAGGTGTGTGGTGAGGTACTGTGGTGTGAGGTGTTGTGGTGAGGTGTGTGTGAGGTGTGTGGGGTGAGGTTTGTGGCGGGTGTGGGTGAGATTTGTGGTGAGAGTGTGGTGCGGTGTTGGGTGAGGTGTGTTGTTTGTATGTGTGTGTGGTGAGTGAGGTGTTTGTGTGTGTATTGTGTGTGGTTATGTGTGTATGTGTATGTGTGTTGTGATGTGAGGTGTGTGTGTGGTGTGTGTGTTTGTGGTTGAGTGAATGGTTTGTGTGTTTGTTTGTGTGTTGTGTGTGGTGTGGTGAGACATGAGGTGTGTGTGTATGTGTGTGGTGAGGTGAGGTGTGTGTGTACCTGGTTGTTGGGGCTGAGGTTGAGTAATCTCCATGATGAGTACATGAGGTCAGAGAAGTGGTAAAGTATGCGTAGCCTGGCCCGGACTGCTTCCATGCTGACCTCTCTCAGACAGCTGAACTGGGGAGGTACTGCTACCGGCAGCCCTATCTGGAGGGACCGGGGGGAGGAACCTGGAGATGAGAGGGGATCAAAGAAGATGTCAAAGACAGAAAGGGAGGGTGGGAGGGAGGGATGGGGATATGTATATATTCAGTTTATTGATAAGAGTAGATAGATATGAGCGAGACATAGGAGAGATAGTTGAGCTTTACATATATATAGAGAGTGAGAGAGAGAGAGAAGAGAGATAGAGGAGACCGATATAGAGAGAGGGAGAGAGATAGGACAGGGATAGGGAGTAAGAGAGGAGATGATATAGATAGATATAGAGAGATAGAGATACGCCCGCTCTCTCTCTCTCATCTCATCCTCGCTCAATATTCTCTCTCTCAGAGCTCTGACTCCCTATCTCCTCTTCGTCTCGCCTCTCTCTCTCTCCCTCTCTCCCTTCTTTCTCTTTTATGCCTCCTTTTCGAATCCAAAATCATTATCAATCTCTTCACCCAGATAACCATCCCCCTAGGTTTTAATGTTCTCACACTAGTTACATTATGACCAAGGGAGATAAGAACAACAATCGATTCAACACACATCGTTGGAATTAGTTACCTGCCCATGAAACACTTCACCAGGTACCAGAGTCCTATTGTCATTTGACGTCATGCGTTTAATACTGATTAGAGAGAACTACCTGCCTGCTGAATGTGTGTTGTGTGTGGTGTGTGTGTGTGTGTGTGTGGTGTGTGTGTGTGTGTGTGTGTGGTGTTTGGTGTGTGTGGTGTGTGTGTTTGGTGTGTGTGTGTGTGTTTTGCTGTGTGTGTTGTGTGTGTGTGTGGTGTGTGATGTGCTTTTTGTGTGTGTGGTGTGTGTGTGTTGTGTGTGGTGGTCTCGTGGTGTGTGTGTGTGTGTGTGTGTAGTGATGTGATTGTGTGTGTGTGTTCCCCCCCCCCTGGCGCCCGTGGCGGGCCGCCCTCGTTGCCGTCGTCCCGGCAGCTGAGTGACAGCGACCAGCATAGATCGGTTATGGTTTTTTGCCCCTGTGTAGTGGGATGTCACCAGGGTGGCTCTCCTCACACACACGTGGCTTGTGTGCCCATAACCCAACTAGGAGACAGGGAGAACGAGAAAGCAGATTTTTGACCGCTAACTAGTAACAGGTAGAACCTAGAAACATATCTAGACCCAACTATGAGTACCACTGGAGAACATGAGAATCAGATATAGATCCAACTATTGAGACAGGGAGACAGAGAAACAGATCAGACCCACCTATGATACCTGGAGAAACCAGAGAAAACATATTAAGAACCAAGAGAAATAGAACCTCAACTCTTTATAAGGTGGATAACAGATAAACAGATCTAGACCCAGCTACACACACACGAGAACAGATCTAGGACCCAGCTAGCAACACACGAGAAACAGATCTAGACCCAGCTACACCCCAACCCCATAGAACGATCTATAACCCAGCTTAACAACCCACATAGAAACAGATCTAAGACCCACTACAACACACAGAGAAACAGATCTATAGGCCCAGCTACAACACACATAGAAACGATCTAGAGACCCCTCTACAACCCACAGCGAAACATGATCTAGACCCATCTACAAACACACAGGAAACAGATCTAAACCCAGCTACAACCACACCAGAGAAACAATCTAAGTCAGACCCCTCCCCTGCTACAACACACAGAGAAACAGATCTAGACCCAGCTACAACACACAGAGAAACAGATCTAGACCCAGCTACAACACACAGAGAAACAGATCTAGACCCAGCTACAACACACAGAGAAACAGATCTAGACCCAGCTACAACCCACAGAGAAAACAGATCTAGACCCAGCTACAACCCACAGAGAAACAGTATCAGTGAGCTACTCAACTCATATTGGATGAACCAGAATCAGTTTGTTTGCCATTCCACAAGTGTAGGAATTTGTCTTTATAAGAAAAGCCCTCACAAGGTAGACATGCACAATAACCACAGTACAATGACAGAGAGAACTGGTGCTAAAAAGTGTGTGTGTGTGTGTGAACCTGTCAGTGTGTGTAACCGTCCGTGTGTGTGTGTGTGTGTGTGTGTGTGTGTGTGTGTGTGTCTGTGCGTGCGTGCGTGTGTGTGTGTACCCGTGTATTGTATCCTACCTGTCCCTCTGAGTTGCTGCCCCAGGTATAGACCTCTCCAGTGGAGGAGAGGACCAGTGTGTGTACCCGTCCCAGTGTGTGTGTGTGTGTGTGTGTGTGTGGTGTGTGTGTGTGTGCGTGGTGTGTGTGTGTGTGTGCGTGTGTGTGTGTGTGTGTGTGTGTGTGTGTGTGTGTGTGTGTGTGTGAACCTGTCAGTGTGTGTACCCGTCCCTGTGTGTGTGTGTGTGTGTGTGTGTGTGTGTAACCCGTGTATTGTATCCTACCTGTCCCTCTGAGTTGCTGCCCCAGGTATAGACCTCTCCAGTGGAGGAGAGGACCAGTGTGTGTACCCGTCCCAGTGTGTGTGTGTGTGTGTGTGTGTGCCCGTGTATTGTATCCTACCTGTCCCTCTGAGTTGCTGCCCCAGGTATAGACCTCTCCAGTGGAGGAGAGGACCAGTGTGTGTTCGGCCCCCACTGCCACATCCTCTATAAACACGTCAGACAGAGCTGGCACCACCTGGGGACGGTTGTGGTTCCTGGCCCGGCCCTCCGGTAGCCCTATCAGTCGGTCTGGAGACAGGGGGGGACACAGGAGGGTTGACGAGGAGTGTACTGGGTTACAAAGACACATTCTGTATCTGGAGGCTGCATCTCCAACAGTATTGGAAGTCACATTCTGTATGTTATGCTATGTCTAAAGTAGAAAGAATATTTATGGCAAGAATCAAGATAGATTATGAACTGTAGAACTACAGTAACAGACAACACTGTGAGAGAATATTGTTTTTTCCTCCGCACGTTCTATTCTATAATATTCATATGTTAACTGTTGTACTGAATAGTATGCATGCAGCGTATCCATACCTTGTCCGAATGTGTACACGTTGCCATCTTTGGTGAGAGCAACAGAGAACTGAGTTCCACAGGACACCTTCTTGATACCAATTCCACAGAGAACGTCAACCTTCTGTGGAACACAGAAACAGCTATCTGAATCACCTTCACTCACCAAGTACATTTACACAGAACTGGAATATGACTTGGTGAAGTGGTTGCCTAGGTAAGGGTCGCGTGTTGGGGTGGTGGATGGGGTATAGTGTGCTGGTGGGGTTGGTGTACACAGACGAATATACTATACATAATTACAGAATATACAGACAGAAGATACAGAATATACAGGCAGAATTATACAACAGAATAGACGAGACAGAAGTACAGACAGGAATACAGACAAACAGAATAGTACAGAACAAATAGGGACAGAGCAGAATATACCGTCGAGGAATACTTGTTCCAGACAGAATATACAGAACAGAATATACAAACAGAATAGACAGACAGAATATACCGACAGAATATATACAGACAGAATACAGTGGGGAAAAAATATTTATCAGCCACCAATTGTGCAAGTGCTCCCACTGAAAAAGATGAGAGAGCTGTAAATTTTGTTCCTCGAGGTACACGTCAACTATGACATACCAAATTGAAAAGAAAAAAATCCAGAAACACATTGTATGATTTTTAATGAATTTATTTGCAAATTATGGTGGAAAATAAGTATCTTGGTCACCACACCAGCAAGATTCTGCTCGTCCCAGAACCTGGGAACTGGGCGGGAAGAGGCTCCCGGGGCTGCCTCCACGCGTGGGACCGGGATGGAAGGGTGGTTGGTGTGTTCGATTTTTTCCGGTGGTGGGGTGGTATGGTTGGTTTGTGTTGTGTGGTGAAGGGTGGGTTTTTGTGGAAGACGGGGGGAGGCAGGATAAAGACACCGGGCCAACCGCCAACAGGCACACTCCAAACGCACGAGGGCCGAGGACCAAAGAGCTGGTGTGCAAAGGACACCCCAAAACAAAAGGTGGGGGCTACCGGCACCAGGCTGGGTGAAGACGGAGCTAAGAGGGGTAGAGCAGCTTGGTTTTGAATAAAATCAGAACTGTGGGGAGCATTTATTAGGAAATGGTGAAAGACATACTTTAAACCACTGATAATCTCCCTCGATCCGTGTTTGGTGCTGCCTTTGGTCGCAAGACAGCGCACCCCGGTGGGGTTCAAATGAGCTCACAGAACGGTGAGCAAAAATTCCCAAACCAACGGGGGGACCTAGTGAATGACCTGCAGAGAGCTGGGACCAAAGCACAAAGCCTACCATCAGAAACACACTACGCCAAACCCTGCAGTGCCAGACGTGTCCCCTGCTTAAGCCGTACATGTCCAGGCCCGTCTGAAGTTTGTAGAGTGCATTTGATGTCCAGAAGAGGATTGGGAGAATGTCATATGGTCAGATGAAACCAAAATTAATTTTTTTGGTAAAAACTCAACCGTCGTGTTTGGAGGACAAAGAATGCTGGGTTTCATCCAAAGAACACCCTACCTACTGTGAAGCATGGGGGGGGGAAAATCATGCTTTGGGGCTTTTTTTTCTGCAAAGGGACCAGGACGACTGATCCGTGTAAAGGAAAGAATGAATGGGGCCAGTATCGTGAGATTTTTTAGTGAAAACCTCCTTCCATCGCAAGGGGATTGAAGATGAAAAAGTGGGTGGGGGGCTTTCAGCATGACAATGATCCCCAAAAAACACCGCCCCGGGCAATGAAGGAGTGGCTTCGTAAGAAGCATTTCAAGGTCCTGGATTGGCCTACCAGTCTCCAGATCTCAACCCCATAGAAAATCTTTTGGGGGGAGTTGAAAGTCTGTGTTGCCCAGCAAAAGCCCCAAAACATCACTGCTCCAGAGGAGATCTGCATGGGGGAATGGGCCAAAATACCAGCAACAGTGGGGTTTTAAAACCTTGTGAAAAACTTACAGAAAACGATTGACCTGTGTCATTGCCAACAAAGGGGTAAAAAACAAAGTATTGAGAAACTTTTGTTATTGACCAAATACTTATTTTCCACCATAATTTGCAAATAAATTCATTAACAATCCTACAATGTGATTTTCTGGAAAAAAAATTCTCATTTTGTCTGTCACAGTTGACGTGTACCTATGATGAAAATTACAGGCCTCTCTCATCTTTTTAAGTGGGAGAACTTGCACAATTGGTGGCTGACTAAATACTTTTTTCCCCCACTGTATACAGACAGAATATACAAACAGAATATACAAACAGAATATACAGACAGAATATACAGAATACACAGACAGAATATACAGACAGAATATACAGACAGAATATACAAACATAATATACAAACAGAATATACAGACCGAATATACAACCAGAATATCCCGACAAATATACAAACAGAAAATACAGACAGAATATACAAACAGAAATACAACAGAATTACAGACAGAATATACAGAATACACAGACAGAATATACAGACAGAAAATACAGACAGATATTAAAAACAGAATATACAGAATATACAGAAAAGAATATACAGACAGAAAATACAGAAAACAGACAGAATATGACAGAATATCAGACAGAAAATTACAGACAGAATATACAAACAGAATATACAGACAGAAATAAAAGACAGGGAATATAAGACAGAATATACAAACAGAAATATACAGACGAAATATACAGACAGAATATAGAATAACAAACAGAATATACAGAATATACAAACAGAATATACAGACATAATATACAGAATATACAGACAGAATATACAGACAGAATATACAAACAGAATATACAGAATATACAGACAGAATTTACAGAATATACAGACAGAATATACAGAATATACAGACAGAATATAGACAGAATATACAGACAGAATATACAGACAGAATATACAAACAGAATATACAGACAGAATATACAGACAGAATATACAGACAGAATAGACAGAATATACAGACAGAATATACAGACAGAATATACAAACAGAATATACAGACAGAATATACAGACAGATATACAATATACAAAAATAAAACAGAATAAAACCCGAATATACAAACAAATATACAAACAGAAATTTCAAACAGAATATACAGACAGAAAATACAGACAGAATATACAGGAATTAGACAGAATAACAGACAGAATATACAACAGAAATACAACCAAAATCAACAAACACCCCCCAAAATTTTCACCCTCAATGTCACATCTTTCCCTTTCCCCTCCTCAAACTGAGAAAAGACAGTCCAAACCCAAAACTTAAAAAAAGTAAAAAACAATACCTGGGGAGGAAAACATCAAACTATGTAAAAACCAGGTGAGGAACAGACATAACACATGTACATTTTCGAGGGGGGAAAGAAAAATCAAACACTGTACTACCTGAGGGGGAAACAAAAATCAAAAACTACGTACTCCGAGGTGGGAACAACTCACACTATGTACATACCTGAGGGGGAAAACAACTCAAAACTACTTACATATGAGGGGAGAACAACCAAAACTAGTACATACCTGGGGAGGATTTGGCGGTAGAATTCCCCAGTCCCAGTTTCCCGTAGTCGCCGTCTCCGAAGGCCCAGACCATCATTCCATCGGCAGAGACGGCTACGTGTTTTATTCAGACCCCCAAAGCCCCTGGGCCAGAAAAAAACCGGGGTTCTGGTCAATACACGTCAAAAAAATGGTCCAATACTTGAGGTGTGCTTGATGTATTTACCCTGGGAAAGGGAAACCCAAAACTTTCAGTGAGAGTTTTTTTTTTTTTGCGTAATTGGACTGTTGTTTTTTCTCCCCCGTCCAAACCCGGGATCCCTCCGTGATGGACTGTTGTTATCTCCAACCCGTCCAAACCCGGGTTCCCCCCCGTGTGGACTGTTTTTTATTCCCCTGTCCAACCCGGTATCCCTCCCCTGAGTGAGTTGTTTATCTCCCGTCCCCCCCCGGGATCCCCATTTATTGACTGTTTTATCTACCTGCCAACCCGGTATCCCTCCAGTGAGGACGTTGTTTTTCCCACTTCCAACCGGGGGTCCCCAGTGATTTGGGGCGTTGTTTTTTCACCTGTCCAAACCCGGGCCCCCATGATGTGTGTTTTTTATCTCCCCCGTTTCCACCGGGATCCCCCAGTGGGTTATGTTTTTTTATCTCACCTTCAACCCGGATCCTCCAGTGATGTATGTTGTTTTTCTCACCTTTCCAACCGGTATCCCTCCCTATTAGTGTTTATCTCCCCTGTCCAACCTGGTATCCCTCCAGTGATGTGACTTTGTTTATCTCACCTGTCCAACCTGGTATCCCTCCAGTAAAGTGATGTGACTGTTGTTTATCTCACCTGTCCAACCTGGTATCCCTCCAGTGATGTGACTGTTGTTTATCTCACCGTCCAAATGGTAATCCTCCCGTGTTACTTTTTTTTCTCACCGTCCCAAACCCGGTATCCCCCCTGAAGTGACTTTTTTTTTTCTTTTGGAGGGTTTTCCCCACCACCGCCCTGTTCCTTCCCAAAGGGAAAACACTTCCCACGATCCCCCGTGAGTTTCTTACCCCACGGACTCTCAAAGAGGGAAAAGTTGTGGAATGGGAAACCCTCCAAGGCTTTTTTTTTTTTGCAGATGAAGGGAAATGGGTTTTTCCCACCTTTCCCCTATTCCAAATGAATGGGGTTTGTCACCTTTTTAACTGGTTTTTATTGTAGTTTTTTTTTTTCTGTCACTGTACTTCTGTTGATTTGGGTTAAACAACTGCCTTCTGTTTATTTGGTTTTTCCACTGTCAAATTTTTGATATCTGGTTGATCTCGTCAGCTTTGTTGTAATTGGTTGATCTACTGCACCTGGTATTCTGGTCGGATCTACGTCACTTTTTTATTCTGGTTAAACTACCGCACCCTGTTAACTGGTCTTCATTTGCCTTTGTTTTTATTTCTAGTCCCCTGGACTCATTGGGGGGTGGGGTTTTTCTCCCCTTTTTTAAAAAACCTTTTATCCCCAGGGGGGTTTTACTCCCTGTTTAAAACCTTTTAAACCTAGGTGGAGGTGTTTATCCCCTTTTTAAACCTTTTATCCTAGGGGAGGTGTTAATTTTTCCCCGTTTTTTCCTTGACCCCCGAGTAGGGGTTTAATCCCCTGTTTTTTTTTCCTTTTATCCTAGGTGGAGGTTTTTTATCCCCCTGTTTTAAAACCTTTTATCCGGGGGGAGGTGTGTAACCCCTGTTTTTAACCTTTTATCCCCCAGGTGGAGGTGTTTAAACTCCCCTGTTTTAAAACCCTGGGGTCCTAGGGGGAGTGTTTTAAATCCCCTGTTTTAAAAATTTTATCCTAGGGGGTTTTAAGTCCCTTTTTAAAACTTTGATTCCTGGGTTTGGGGGTGTTTAACCCCTCTGTTTTAAAAAATTTTCCTAGGGGGGTGTTTAACCCCTCTGAACCGAAAATTGGGGGGGGTGGGTTTAACGCCCTTTTTTTTAAATTGAATGGGGGAGGGTTTAAAAATCCCTCTTTTAAATTTAATCTGAGGTGGAGGTGTTTAACGTCCTCTGTTTAAAACTTGATTCCAGGTGATTTTAAACGTCCTCTGGGTTTTAACCTTGATATCCTGGGTGGGGGGTTTTTAACGTCCTCTTTTTTCCTACCCCGGGGGGGAGGTTTTCTTCCCTTTTTTTTAAAATGGGAATCCTAGGTGGAGGTTTTTTTTACGTCCTTTTGTTTTTAAACCCTTAGCCCCTGATAGGTGTTTAAACTCCCTCTGTTTTAAAACCTGAGCCTGTGGGGTTTTTGGGGGTTTTCCGTCCCCTGTTTTAAACCTTGATGCCCTGAGGCTCTCTCCTACTACCCTGTATTGTTGCACCTCTAAATGACAGGAGACTATGGCCTATTAAAGTAGCACTCCTCTGTTTGTCCACGTACCTGCACCACCTCCTCTCCCTGCAGGGCTTCGATCTGTCGCGGTCGTCTCTGGCGGTCACTGTTCCCGTGTCCCAGCTTCCCGTAGTCTCCATCTCCCCAGCTGAACACCTCGCCACTCTCCGTCAGCGCCATGGAGTGGCCGTCACTACCACACGACGTCACCAGCTGGGTCACCACAAAGCCTGGGGGGAGACAGACAGACAGACACAGGCAAAATACATATGTTAGAGCTCTGGTCCCCTAACAGAAAGCAGCTCTGCAGCGGGGGCTCTGGTCCCCTAACAGAAAGCAGCTCTGCAGCAGGGGCTCTGGTCCCCTAACAGAAAGCAGCTCTGCAGCAGGGGCTCTGGTCCCCTAACAGAAAGCAGCTCTGCAGCGGGGGCTCTGGTCCCCTAACAGAAAGCAGCTCTGCAGCAGGGTAATTACCTCCTCTCCTCATCTCTTCTTCACCATCAATACCTTTAAAACACTGGACTCATAGTAAATCCTCCACTACTGCATTCACCCTGTTTCCTTATCAGTGCAAATGAGAGGAAGGAGACAAGGAGAGGAAGGAGACAAGGAGAGGAAGGAGACAAGTAGAGGAAGGAGACAAGTAGAGGAAGGAGACAAGTAGAGGAAGGAGACAAGGAGAGGAAGGAGACAAGTAGAGGAAGGAGACAAGTAGAGGAAGGAGACAAGTAGAGGAAGGAGACAAGTAGAGGAAGGAGACAAGGAGAGGAAGGAGACAAGTAGAGGAAGGAGACGAGTAGAGGAAGGAGACGAGTAGAGGACTATTGAGATGCAGTCCCCCATTGCGTACCTTGCAATGCTGAGATGACGGTGATTACATGCAGATCATCAGAGTTGCCCTGTCCCAGTCTGCCGTAGCTGCCCTCCCCACAGGCTAACACTGTCCCGTTAGCCTGAATCACAAACGTACAGTTCTGACCACACACCACCTAGAGAGAAGAGAAGAGAAGAGGGGGGCAGGGAGGGAGAGAGAGGGAGGGGGAGTAGAGTTCAGTTCACAACATGACAAATAGATAACACCGTGTCCTGACCAGAATCATTTAGAATAATGATCTAAGAATAGGACTGACCAGGCCACCAGAGAGGACATCAGACTGAATGATCACCTACAGATGTTGCATGTTTAATTCCTAACTCGGTCTCCTTTTTCAGCCTCAGGAGACAGACACAAGCCCCAGTAGCTTCATCACTCCAGAGGTTCTGAGACAGTGTCGTCTGATGAAGGTGTTCAATCTAATAGGATTTATATGATGTAGTTGTAATGGGATCATCACAGTCATCATCAACAACCATGGAGAGTAGGGTGAGAGGGCATCATGTGTATAGTTTGTCTACCTGTTGTGCCTGTGAGAAGGAGGGTGGTAGTGTGTACCTGCTGTGCCTGAGAGAAGGAGGGTGGTAATATGTACCTGTTGTGTCTGAGAGAAGGAGGGTGGTAGTGTGTACCTGTTGTGTCTGAGAGAAGGAGGGTGCGGTGGTAGTGTGTACCTGTTGTGTCTGAGAGAAGGAGGGTGGTAGTGTGTACCTGTTGTCCCTGAGAGAAGGAGGGTGGTAGTGTGTACCTGCTGTGCCTGAGAGAAGGAGGGTGGTAATATGTACCTGTTGTGTCTGAGAGAAGGAGGGTGGTAGTGTGTACCTGTTGTGCCTGAGAGAAGGAGGGTGGTAATGTGTACCTGTTGTGCCTGAGAGAAGGAGGGTGGTAGTGTGTACCTGTTGTGCCTGAGAGAAGGAGGGTGGTAGTGTGTACCTGTTGTGCCTGAGAGAAGGAGGGTGGTAGTGTGTACCTGTTGTGTCTGAGAGAAGGAGGGTGGTAGTGTGTACCTGTTGTGCCTGAGAGAAGGAGGGTGGTAGTGTGTACCTGTTGTGTCTGAGAGAAGGAGGGTGGTAGTGTGTACCTGTTGTGCCTGAGAGAAGGAGGGTGGTAGTGTGTACCTGTTGTGTCTGAGAGAAGGAGGGTGGTAGTGTGTACCTGTTGTGTCTGAGAGAAGGAGGGTGGTAGTGTGTACCTGTTGTGTCTGAGAGAAGGAGGGTGGTAATGTGTACCTGTTGTGCCTGAGAGAAGGAGGGTGGTAGTGTGTACCTGTTGTGTCTGAGAGAAGGAGGGTGGTAGTGTGTACCTGTTGTGTCTGAGAGAAGGAGGGTGGTAGTGTGTACCTGTTGTGCCTGAGAGAAGGAGGGTGGTAGTGTGTACCTGTTGTGCCTGAGAGAAGGAGGGTGGTAGTGTGTACCTGTTGTGCCTGAGAGAAGGAGGGTGCGGTGGTGGGCACCAGGATGTTTCTGCCAGCCTCTGCCAGCTGTCCATGTCTACCAGCTCCCCACAGAAACACGTCACACTTCCCTCCCAGGTGCCAGTCCTGGAGACAAGCAGCAGAAACACAGAGAGCTCATTGTCTGTCACAACAGGGTCCATCAACATCTAGCATACAGCACCAAACCAGCTTGGGATATACAACTTTGTTGTGTCAACATGTCATAGATTGGATCTAGAGATCTGAAACTAATTAAAAACATTAACACGTAAAGCAGCAAACCCCAAACTGAAAAGGGCTTACCTCAGGTCTGGAGGTGGCCCAAGACATGATCTGTTCATCCATACCAGACACCCATTTACTGTTGTCCTGTACAGAGAAGAGAGTATTCATCTACAGAGACATCTTGGCATTGCTCCCCTCACAGAGCTCTTGTCTGACCCACCAGTTTGAATACGCTATTGGATACTTTGTCAAACCTTGACAGCTTCTAGCCCAAATGTTGGTTACATCTTAAAGAGACACGGCAGCTTCTAGCCCAAATGTTGGTTACATCTTAACGAGACAAGGCAGTTTATAGCCCAAATGTTGGTTACATCTTAAAGAGACAAGGCAGTTTATAGCCCAAATGTTGGTTACATCTTAACGAGACAAGGCAGTTTCTAGCCCAAATGTTGGTTACATCTTAACGAGACAAGGCAGTTTCTAGCCCAAATGTTGGTTACATTTTAAAGAGTGACTGAATGCACCCGATTCCACATGTGTTTTTCTGTTGCAAATTAAGAAAAAACAGATTTCAGTCTTGGGGGGTGTGGTTCGATGTGGCAATTACTGATGTTTGCCCCCCCCCCCATGAGACGCCATAGGAACAAAGACAGTAACACTTCCTCAAAATAGTCTAAGAAATGAATCTAAGATAACTCAAGAAATCTGTAATTAATTTAGACGTTTTTGCGGAAGAGGTTTTAATCGCGAATTTTACATC